ACCCCGGAGCCCTGACATTACACCAAGGCCATTCCTGACCAGAAGTGGCTGCACAGGGAAGCCATCTTGGCTTGTTGCTGGGTGAAGGATGGATATTGATGAGGTTGTGTATTTATCTCTGCTAGTGTTTGATGACAGAGAGTATGCTTATCAAACTCTGAAGGAGTATCCCAGGGATGAACTGCTAGAATGTATACGGATCGCTCATGTTCTAGTAGATCAGGGCACAGAATTCTCTGAGGTGCAGCCATTGATTCAGGTTTGTGCTGAATTGGTTTTATCTGGTACCCCCAAATGCAGGGATGAATGTTTGCCCCCATTTAGTGCAGACCAGGTAGAGTCCCTGTATGGTTATTGGAGGATGATGTGGATTACTTTCTGGAGCATTATTCTGCATGTTCACCACAGGTACTAAGAGATTGTATAAACAATCAGTTTTTGGTCAGACAGTTTTTTTGGTCAGACAGGCTTTGTGTAAGCGGAGCTTTGTTCAACCCATACTGCAGACATGGACAGACTTGTTGCACCCAGCCTCAGTCAGCTTGCAAAAACCCAGTCCTGCTTCTAATCTATTTCTTCAAAGCTCAATTCCTGCATTCCCAACAGCACCTCCAGTTTCAGCCCAGTATACCCTGCTACCTACCGCATGTCAGTACCCTGTTCCCACTCGCTGCACCTATCCTGCCTTTAACCCTGTAAAGAAGTCCTCTGTAGCAACTGCTCCCTCCTCTGTTCCATCTTCCAGCTCTTCTCTGTCCTCAGCTACTCCATTCGTTTGCAGACCTGCGTTTACTTGCAGTACCCCAGTAGTTAAAACCAGAAAAAAGCGGAAATTCTTTCCAACCAGTACCATCCTGCCAATATCCAAACCGGTGAGCCTGCCGTCTGAGAACCTGCCTTCCGTGGTTCAGCCTGGTGCCTCGGCACCTGCACTTCAGCCTGATGTCTGTACCCAGCCTGATGAACTGATCCAGCCTGATGAACTGATCCAGCCTGATGTCTGTACCCAGCCTGATGTCTGTACCCAGCCTGATGAACTGATCCAGCCTGATGATCCTATCACGCCTGATGACCCGATGCCCGCTGTCGAGCCAGACGATCCAATGGCTGACCCAGTGCCCGCGGTCATGCCAGTTGACTCGGAGCCCACTGTCGTGCCTGGTGACTCGGTGCCCACTGCCTTGCCAGATGACGCGGTGCCCGCTGGCGAGCCAACTGACCTGATGCCTGGTGACCCAGTGCCCGCTGTCATACCTGGTGACCCGGTGCCCGCTGTCGATCCAGACGATCCGGTACCTGATGACCCAGTGCCTGCTGTCATGCCTGGTGACCCGATGCCCGCTGTCGAGCCAGACGATTCAGCGCCAGATGACCCGGTGCCCGCTGTCGTGCCAATTGACTCAGAGTCCACTGTTGTGCCTGGTGACTCGGTGCCCACTGCCTTGCCAGATGACGCGGTGCCCGCTGTCGAGCCAAATGACCTGATGCCTGGCGACCCGATGCCCGCTGTCGGGCCAGACGATCCAATGTCTGACCCAGTGCCCGCGGTCATGCCAGTTGACTCGGAGCCCACTGTCGTGCCTGGTGACTCGGTGCCCACTGCCTTGCCAGATGACGCGGTGCCCGCTGGCGAGCCAAATGACCTGATGCCTGGTGACCCAGTGCCCGCTGTCATACCTGGTGAACCGATGCCCGCCGTCGAGCCAGACAATCCCATGCCTGATGACCCAGTGCCCGCTGTCATGCCTGGTGACCCGATGCCCGCTGTCGGGCCAGACGATCCAATGTCTGACCCAGTGCCCACGGTCATGCCAGTTGACTCGGAGCCTACTGTCGGGCCTGGTGACTCGGTGCCCACTGCCTTGCCAGATGGCGCGGTGCCCGCTGGCGAGCCACATGACCTGATGCCTGGTGACCCAGTGCCCGCTGTCATGCCTGGTGACCCGATGCCCGCTGTCGGGCCAGACGATCCAATGTCTGACCCAGTGCCCGCGGTCATGCCAGTTGACTCGGAGCCCACTGCCGTGCCTGGTGACTCGGTGCCCACTGCCTTGCCAGATGACGCGGTGCCCACTGGCGAGCCAAATGACCTGATGCCTGGTGACCCGATGCCCGTTGTCGTGCCTGATGACCCAGTGCCTGCCGTCCCTCCTGGGGGCCCGGTGCCCGCCGCTCCGCCTGGGGGCCCGATGCCTGTCGCCCCTCCCGGGGGCCTGATGCCTGTCACCCCGCCTGGGGGCCCGATGCCTGCTGCTCCGCATGGTGGCCCGGTGCCTGCTGCTCCGCATGGTGGCCCGGTGCCTGCTGCTCCGCCTGGTGGCCCAGTGCCTGTCGCCCCACCTGGTGATCCGGTGTCCAGCCCGATGTGCCGCTGCCCGGAATCCTGCCCGATGTGCCGCTGCCCGGAGTCCTGCCCAATGTGCCTCTGCCCGGAGTCCAGCCCGATGTGCCTCTGCCCGGGGTCCAGCCCGATGTGCCTCTGCCCGGAGTCCAGCCCGATGTGCCTCTGCCCGGGGTCCAGCCCGATGTGCCTCTGCCCGGGGTCCAGCCCGATGTGCCTCTGCCCGGGTCCAGCCCGATGTGCCTCTGCCCGGGGTCCAGCCCGATGTGCCTCTGCCCGGGGTCCAGCCCGATGTGCCTCTGCCCGGGGTCCAGCCCGATGTGCCTCTGCCCAGGGTCCAGCCCGATGTGCCTCTGCCCGGAGTCCAGCCCGATGTGCCTCTGCCCGGAGTCCAGCCCGATGTGCCTCTGCCCGGTGTGCCGCTGCCCGGAGTCCTGCCCGGTGTGCCGCTGCCCAGAGTCCTGCCCGATGTGCCAGTCTTTGATATCCCGCCAGTTACCAGACCCGGGCGGTGGAACATTTTGCCCGGCTAGGACTGTTTGGAGCGTCCTGAGGCCGCTCCTTGAGGGGGGGGGTACTGTCAGGAATGGACTGGCCAGTAATGGTGGGACCCACCTGCCTTGTGGGCTGCAGTACCAAGGCTGGCCAGCGGGTGCTCCCGGCAATCAGAGACTCAACCCTGCAGCCAGCCTAACACCTGAAACTGCTTATGCAGGTGTATTTAAGTAATGGCCAGACCTGCAGTCTTTGCCTTGGTGTGTGTGTTTTTTCCTGGGCCCTGTATCTTGTTCCTGCATTCCTGTTTCTGTTCCTGTCTCTGATTCGTTGCTGACCCTGCCTGATTCCGGACCTCTGCTGACTTCTCCTGTTTCATCCCTGGCTTGTGACCCCGACCATTCTCTGCCTGACCCCCTGTTCCTACCTGCCCGATTGTTATTGACCCGGCCTGCCTGACGACGCTTGCATTGTATATATTGTTATCTGTGGGTGGTTTGGTTTGGTTCGTTTGCACTGTGTTATGTTTAGTATTGCACTGCGTTTATGTTTGTATTGTTAGTCTTTAATAAATTGTCTTATTATTTATAACATATCTGAAGCCTGCGTTTTCCTGCGTCAGTCACATACCTCTGGTCACACTCCGGAGCCCTGACAGGGGGGTGGCAGAGGTGGAGCGGGTGGTGAGGTGGATGAGTCTGGCCGCTGAGTTCAGGATGGTCTGAAACGGGGAGAGCCTGCACTGGGGTAGGCCGGTGAGGAAGGAGTTGCAGTAGTCAAGGCGTGAGATAATCAGGGAGTGTACGAGTAGTTTAGTGGTGTCTGGGGTAAGGAAGGTGCGTATTTTGGCGATGTTCCGGAGGTGGAGCCTGCATGTGTTTGTAAGTGATTTGACATGAGGTTGGAAGGAGAGGTTAGAGTCCAGAATGACTCCAAGGACTTTGGCTTGCTGGGCGGGATTGATGGTGGTGATGTTAGTAGTGATGGACAGGATGGGGGGGGGGGTGCGGGCAGGAGGGAAGACGAGAAGCTCGGTTTTGGAGAGGTTGAGCTTGAGGAAATGGAGCGACATCCAGTCAGAGATGTCGTTTAGGAGGTGAGTGATGCGGGCGGAGAATGTGGGGGTGAGGTGGGGGGTGGAGAGGTAAATTTGAGTGTCATCAGCGTAGAGGTGGGAGTTGAAGCCGTGGGAGTGTATGAGTTTGCCAAGGGAGGAGGTGTAGATGGAGAAGAGAAGGGGTCCAAGGACAGAGCCCTGGGGGACCCCAACAGAGAGGGGGAGGGAAGGGGAGGTGGCACCATTGTAGGAAACGCTGAAGGAGCGTTGGGATAGGTAAGAGGAGAACCAGGAGAGAGCGGTGTCTCTGATGCCAAGGGAGAGTAGTTTATTAAGGAGGAGGGGTGGTCAACTGTGTCGAAGGCCGCGGAGAGGTCCAGGAGGAGGAGGACAGAGTAGTCGCCTTTGGCTTTTGCGGTTAGTAGGTCGTTGGTGATTTTGAGGAGGGCGGTTTCGGTGGAGTGTAGGGGACGGAAGCCAGACTGTAGTGGATCAAGGAGGTGTTGTCAGTTAGGTGGGCGCTTAGGCGGTCGTAGACTAAGCGCTCCAGGAGTTTGGAAGTGAGTGGCAGCAGGGAGATGGGTCTGAGGTTGTTTGGGTCAGAGGGGTCCAGGGAGGGCTTTTTGAGTATGGGGGTGATGTGCGCATGCTTTAGGGGGGAGGGGAATACGCCAGTAGAGAGTGAGAGATTGAAGATGTGGGTGAGGGAGCAGATGAGGGAAGAGGGGGGTGACTGGAGGAATCGAGAGGGGATAGGGTCCAGGGGGCAGGTAGTGAGGCGGGCTTCTGAGAAGAACCTGGTGACTTCCTCAGTGGTAGCGGGGCTGAAGGAGTGCAGAGCTGGGGGGGTTACGGTAAGCGGGGTCTTGGGTGTGGAGGGGGGCAGTGCGGTTGCGAGGTCAGAGGAGGGAAGAGATGAGGGGGAGATGGGGGGGGCTAGGGGGGGAGGTAGATTGCGAGTTGACTATGTCCTGACAGATTGCATCAATCTTGTTGTGGAAATGAGTGACAATTTCGTGGGCGGTGAGTGAGGTACTGAGTGGAGGAAGGGGGGGGAGAATAGGGAGTTGAAGGTGGAGAAGAGTCGGCGAGGGCAGGAGGAGAGGGTGTTGATCAGGTTTACGAAGTAAGCCTGCTTGGCGGCATGGAGGGAGGAGGTGTAAGTGAGGAAGGCAGATTTGTAGAGGGAGAATGAACGGGGGGACCTGGTTTTGCGCCATAGTCTCTCTAGCGCGCGACTGCGGCGTTTGAGGCATTTAGTGTGGGTCGTTCTGCCATGGTTGGAGCGGTCTGGGTTTGATGTAGCGTGTGGTTAGGGGTGCCAGAGAGTCTAGGGTAGCTGATAGTGAATCGTTGTACGTGTTAGTGGCTAGGTCAGGACATGACAGTGGAAGGATGCTGTCGTGTAGGCGGTCGGCAGCTGAGTGGAGGGGGGCCGGGTCCAGGTTGCGGAGGTTGCGGCTGGTGATGGTTTGGCACTCTGGGGGGGGGGAGTTAGGGGAAGGGGAGATGGAGAACGTGAGGAGGTGGTGGTCGGAGAGAGGGAAGGGGGTGTTAGAGAACTGGTTGAGGGTACAGAGGTGGGAGAAGACGAGGTCCAGGGTGTTCCCAATGATGTGGGTGGAGGATTGAGTGTGCTGTGTGAGCGCGAAGGAGGAGGTTAGGTGGAGGAGTTGGGAAGTAGCCGGGCTGTTGTCGTTGATGGGGATATTGAAGTCCCCGAGGATGATGGTTGGTAGCTCAGAGGAGAGGAAGAAGGGAAGCCAGGCGGCGAAGTCATCCAGGAATCGGGGTATGGATCCGGGAGGCCTGTAGATCACTGCGATCCTTAGGGGGTGGGGGTGAAGAGCCGGATACAGTGAGCCTCGAAGGAGGAGAAGGTTAGGGAGGGAGGGTTAGGGAGGACCTGGAAGGTGCTCAGCGGTGATAGGAGCAGGCCTACCCCACCACCTTTTGTGACCGCTCAGTCTTGGTGAATGGGACCAGACGAGACCTCCAGAGGACAGTGCCGCAGGGGAGGTGGAGTCAGTGGCCTGTACCCAGGTTTCAGTGATGGCTAGGAGGTTAAGGGAGTGGGAGATAAAGAGTCATGGATGGCAGTAAGTTTGTTGCAGACCGAGCGGGCGTTCAGGAGTGCAACCGAGAGAGAGGGGATGGATGCGGGGAGAAGGGGCACAGGTATGAGGTTGAGGGGGTTACGGCAGCTGGCGGGAGCAGGAGGGTCCCTAGAGGAGGGGTGAGGTGGCGAGGGGCCAGGGTTCGGGGAGATGTCCCCAGCGGATAGGAGAAGGAGAAGGGTGAGGAAGGTGGCATGGGGATGGGAAGTGCAGGAGCGTGTGGGTCTGATAGTGGTGGCACGTGGGTCGACGGGGGAGTGGAGTAGCAGGAGGAGGTGGTGAGTGCCGTAGTGGGGAGAGGGGAGAAGTGAAAGGGCAATGTAGAGCTGTTTTGGGGAGGTAGGCGGGCAGAGGGAGGTGATTTTTGGGATGGTGGAGAGGAAAACGAGGAGGAGGAGTGCAGGAGGCATGTTGGGGTGGGTGGAGTGACGGTTGGATCAGGGGGTGAAGGGATACAGGTCAGGGCAGGGTGGTGTGGGGAATCTGTATTACCGTGGGAGAGTCATTTGAGTCCTTCTGTAGGGGTAGAGTGAGGGTGGAGGGTGGCAGCTGGTTGGCAGCAGTCTGTGGGTGCAGTAAGCTGGCGACCGTGGGTGCTGTGGCATGTCTTCAGTGGGTACGGGTGGTTCAGCTAGCGGAGGGTCGTAGGGTGCGATGGCTGGGGGTGTTGGTAGGCACGGCGACTGATGATGCTGGCGGCTCTGTGACTGGGGTTGTTGAGGCCAGGCGTCGGGTGCTGCGGGCTCGGCGTCGTGAGGCGCTGAAGGTGTTGAAGGGCGCAGCGTCAGGAGGCGTTGAAGGATCGTCGTCAGGGTCGAGCGGGGCGTTGCGGTAGCGATCATCGGCCCTGCGTGGTTTGTGCTCAACTGTGATCTGTTGCGGCCGGTAGGAGAGACCGCGGCTTCAAGGGTCGTGGTGGGCCACTAGTCGCCGGGGCATCGCCAGAGGGAATAGCGTGCCGGAAAGCAGGGTGCTGGGCGAGCGGTTCCTGGTGGGGTGGCTGGCTGGTAATCCCAGGTGGGGTGGTGGGCAGGGGATCCCTGGTGGGATGGTGGCCGTGCTATCCCTGGTGGGGTAGTAGTGATCCCTGGAGGGATAGTGGCTTAGGGTCCCTGGTGGTTTGGGGTTTCCGGTGGATGGTGGGATCCCTGAGTGAGTCCCTGGAGGCTGGCGGTGTGATGGTGGTTGGGCTCCCTGGTGGGTAGTGGGCGCCCCTGGTGAATTACCTGGTGTCCTGGAGCGTCGGGGTGGAGGTGGATCCCTCCTAGGTTAGCAGGACCGTTGGTGGTGGTGGTAGCTTCCCGGAGGAGCGGAGGCGTCCCGCCAGGGGCAGCAATTCCCGCTGTGATTCTATATATATATATATACACACACACATATATATATATATATATATATACGTACACACACACATACATATATATATATATATGTACACACATATATATACATATATATATATATATACACACACACACACACGCACACAC